CATTACACTATACAATACATGTACATGTACAATTACTGCATGTATTGTACATGTACAAATGTACTTGTATAAGATTTTATAAACTACATGTACTATCTATAATGATAATGTGGTTCTTATTATAGTACGTTAGACTGTTATCTGAGGAGGAGAGGGAGGACTCATTTTGGGAGAGCATTGAAGACGTGGCCAATAAAATGTTCTCTTATACCTTGTCTACATGAAGGATTCCTCTGAGTAGTAAGGGAGGGAGAGGGAGGAGAGGAGAGGGAGAGGGGGAGGGAGGGAGAAGGAGGAGGAGAGAGAGAGGGGGGAGAGAGGGAGGGAGGGAGGGGGAGGGAGGCAAGGGAGGGAGAGAGAGGGTGAAGGGAGAGAGAGGGGGAGGTGAATGAGAGGGAGAGAGAGGAGGAATAAAGAAGGAATGAGGGAGAAAGAGTGAAATAGAAGAAGTTATGTATTCATTGTTCTACTAGGAATTAACTCTGCCTGGTTTTTCATCACCAACAATCATTATGCCACCCAGAGGAGATTAGTATATGTACATTCAGTTTCATTTTTTTCTCTCTCTCTCTCTCCCTTCAGATCTTCATCTTACACACAAATATACACATTGTAGGTAGAGGTATTCAGAAGATATTGAAGGTGTTGCCACAGACCAGTTCCCCACCCCCTCAGATTCACTACTTGATGTTAGCACCAATCCCAGTACAGATTGGACTCAATAGGTCAATGGAAATGAAAGAGAGGGACAGAATGAGGACATCAAATTCAGTGAGTAGTGAACAATATCCATGTACATGTACATGTACTTTTTGATTTACATGTACAGTGTACAGTACAGTATGTATAGCAATGCATCTATAGATAAGGAACTCTCCCATTTGAGAGAGACTGTGTTGTACATGTACAGTATGTACATGTAATTATTGCGTATTGAATTTCATCATTAACTTTCTTGTTATTTTCAAGAGTCAGATAATGGGATTATCTTATTATTATTGTTATTGTTTTTTATCTCAGTTTAAGTTAGAATGTACATGTACATGTGCTTATACATGTACTTGTACATGTATATCAATTTTCTTTGCATTCATTATGTATTGTATGTACATGTACTCTTCCTGTCCTCCTCCTCTTTGTTCTATCAAAGGATGTGGTATCTTGTGAGGCCAGTCATTCCCTGGCAGTGTGTGTCTTACTGGGTGTCTGGTCTATGACTTTTGAGCTATTGGGACGGGTCTGTCCTGAGTCAGTTGGTAAACTCAAGCACTCAATATTCAACCAGTTGCAAGGTAAAAATATTTTTCAGAATCAGCTCAAACTTTCTACATAGCATAAAGGCATCAAAATGTTTCAAAAATTTGGAGTGACTTTAGAGCCAATTTTTGTCTAAAAATGTGACCATAATTGACAAAATGTACCTTATGGCGGGTAGTGAAATTTGTCTTTATAGCCTATAAGAAATCCAACTTCCTGAGCCCCATTTATCATAAAATTACTCCACAGGATGCAAAAAGTTACCATGAAACTTTTAGAAACAATGATTGCCTAACAAAGCACTCACAGGTTGATATTTTTCATTATAACGATCAATTTTAAAATCTGCCATAAGGGCCCTTTTGTCAATTATGGTCACAAATGAAGGAAGTCTCTTTTTATACAATTTCCCCCAATACATACATGTACATGTATACATGTTCTTAAGTTCTGTATAAAGTTTGAGCTCATTCTGATCAAAATAGGATTTTTCCTCTTTTTAATAACTTTGTTTATTATGGTAGATGTTTCTTGAATGGGAGGAGACTAGGCTTTGATGAACTGAGGACTTTAGTAGTGGACTGTTGTCTTTATTTTTTTTTTTGAATGGTCTTTTGTTAAAAATAGTTAGCCTATGCAAACAAATGGAAACATGGAAACATGCATGCATATTACGTTGTGTAGAGCTAGTCATGAAGGGATCAAGTACATTATCAGTTGTTCACAATCTTGGCAATTCTGGTGTCCTCACATATTGCATTTTAGTACTACAAGCTAGTAACAATTTGGCTGACATTCACTAGCTCGACTTTACTTGATAAATTACAAGTTCAATTGTAAGTAACAGCAAATATTGTGTAAAAACACTTGTTTGAAATCAATAAAAAATTAACATTGTACATCAACAAAAATTAAAAACAATGTGTTTTCACAATACATGTAAGTCAGTAATAATCACTGTTTTGTTAAACTCTTTAGTTCAGCTACAATGTCATTTCTTTCAACATCTTCTAGTGCTGATATCAATCCTTCACGAGTAGCTGATCCTAACTTGATCCATTGACAGATCACATCTTTCTTACAGACCTCAACCTGACTCTGACAGTTGTACTTGATTGCCTTTAATTCATCATTCTCAATCCCTAAGAATAG